AATTTATTTCTGCAAATAGGCTACAAGGCAGCACTTTTACACGTCAATTTTATCAAGCGAACGATGAGGTCGACATTTCCTAACTGACTACTCTGAGAAGAAATGCCGAAACAAACTCAATATTTGACTCTTCATATTCTACAAGTTCTTCGCAGAATATTTTTTCCGCTCTATGATTTCAATTTCGAGTTTAAATCTCGACAAGAACATTATGTTCTCTTAATGCATGGTTCGTGGGCTATAATTAAAACGTAATGTTACATAATACGACGCAGTTATGGCCAGTTATTTTGTACTTGAAATAAAAATCGAAAAAGGATTTTATCTTCTAAAAATGGTAAATACCTTGGTACCTTACTTTATGGCATTTCACACATACATATTGAAGTTCAACTGTGTTTTTATCTTAAATTGTAATGCTGTACAACGATTTACATGACAATAAAATTTAAGACTTTTGATCGCCATTTTTGTGGAGAATTATTAAAGATATGTAATATATTTCGCAATACAATGAATGGATTGTTATTCAAAGAGGTTTGGTGTCGGTATATGGTCGCGACCTTCCACGATTGGTCAAAAGTTGGACTCGGAACAACAGTTTGGACAGGCGTGGGTCACAAGGTACACAGAGGTTTGCCTCACCTCTGATTATTTAAATGGTTGTCGACATTCTTATGAACATCGTGGAATATCATGATGCAATGCGCAACGTGGTTACGACTTTTTATTTATATTTCTTTGGGGCATTGAGAGAAGAACTTGATGCAATGGTGATATTAGGTACTGCTACTTTGAGATTAAATAAGTGTAGTTATTACACTACACGTATAAACAATGTGCAATTGTACTACTATAACTGAAGAAAATGCATCTACTGTAAGTACAGCGCTGTCTATCCATTTGTCTAATTGCTAGCGTGATGATGTATCAATTATATGTATGGTTCAAAAAAGATTCACTTAGTCGTTAAAATAATAAAAGATCTTGAGGTATATTCTATTAATCTTTTACAACTGACAGTAAATTATAATTTATTGTAGACAAATCATTATCATAACTTATGATTGAGTCCTAAATAAAATAAAATAAATGACATTCTACCGTAAAAGTAGTATCTCGCCAAAATATTCGAGTTTGAATAATTCATCGGATCGTGAATGAGACAGATTAGTTCCTAGTGTTAATTGTTTGTTTATTTACAAGATAAGGCTTCATTTCCTGTCATCCGCTTCCGGTGAGACCGAGATCATTCACTCACCCACCCACTCACTTGCACATTAGTGCACGACTACACTTGGAAGCAAAAATAACGGAACCACTAGCGCTTTTTCTTATTAATTTCTTTATTAATATTTTCTTATACACGTTTAAGGAACTGAGAGTAAAGTTCTCTAAGATATAGGTAAAGGAGAATCCTCCGACCAGGCGAGGTGTACGTGCATGGCGGGCTTTCTGCCCAACAGTTATTCGTTGGGATTTTCTATCCGTGTTAATTTGCATGTAAACTTAACATGTGCGATGTAGGATTTTGTGATCCATTCATTTCGTTTCCTTTTCGTCATCCATTGATTTGTTTTTCATCGATGGTCTATGTGCGTGACCTGTCATTTTACATGTGGCATATGTCGCCATACAAGTATTTTATTAATTGGGAGCGGATGTCGAATAAAAACCAATTTAAACAAAAAAATGAGAGCATTTTATTATAAAAGGAATATTTAATTTGTAAGTTATAGAGGGTTTGGAAAAATGAAGAAAAATGCTCGTGGTTCTGATTCTTTGCACTCAAGTGTATGTATGAGTAACTTTGTCACTCAGTCTCTCACACAATGAGTGGGTCTTTAGCCTTTCAGTGACCTTTACAATTTTACCTTTATTTGACTTCTGCTAATTATAAAACCATCGAAATCAAAAGTTATTGAATGTCTTAAAATGTTTATTGATATATAATAAAATCAACACCTTTTTGTTAACTATTTGATTAACCTTATTAGATTTAGTTTTTTGTCTAAACACGGTCATAGGAAATGTCAAGAACTTAAAAAGATCAAATTAGTTATTTGACTGCACATTTTGATTTACCTGGTTGTATAATTTTACTGCTTGCATTTATAACATCCCACAATTAACCTTTAACAAACCCTTTAAACATACCGCCATGCCATTGTAACTTTGCATTATTTTAATATTAGTAATTTTAATCAGCAACACAATAATAAATCACTGTTTACATGATCTTAGTAAGTGACTGATCAGATATTTAATATTAGTAATTTAGTATTGTTAATCGGCATCACAATTATAAATCGCTATTTGCATGATCTTAGTAAGTGACTGATCAGAAAGTAAGGCCCCTGCATGCGTATACGCAGACCGTAGACAAGAGACGGTGCGGCGGCGCGCGCAGGTCGACAACCGCGCTTTATAAGCTGACCCTGACACCGATCACTTACACTAGCTCGCCACGCGGCGCCGCCCGCATTACTACTTGACACGCAAAACTGATACACGTGACCGACTTCCTCGTTTTACTAATTAAATATTATGATTGTTAATTTATTTGAATGAGCTTTGTCATTGTTTATGAATGTTTGTTTCAATTAAAATATATGACATAACATCACGATTTGTAATCGCCATTGGGGTAGACCGAGGTATGTCTATTGAAGATGACAATAAAATACAATAACATCAACAGCACATAATTATATTGCCACCGCTGACCAAAGGCTTTCGTCTCACACGGAGAAGGTTTGAGCATTAACCAATGGTAATTTCAAACTTATAATTGGAAATTAAAAGTTTAGGTTTCCTCACGATGCTTTCCTTCACCGTTTGTCAGTGGTGTCTAAATAATCTTAGAAAGTACATATAACTCGGAAAATCGGTACATTGGTACTTGCTGTTGGTAAGTTTCAATCCTGCACCCTCATGCATGAGAAGTGGGTGTCTTTAACCTCCGGACTTCCAGTCTAAAATATACTACTCCTATTCTAAACAGGAAAAAGATAAGCATTTAGTTAACGAAATACGATTCGCAGAATAAAGTACGGACAAACAAGCGTTTGACAGTTCAATACTAGAGGTACGCTTGCGCAGCGACAACACAAAGCGGAAACAAACGACTCCTGCGCTGTGTACGCAACTTTTACTTACTTACTGTTTGCTACATGTTAAATACGGACCACTTCCTCTTGTTTATTTTTTAATTCTCATGGTCAAGAGCACTAGGTCGATGGCACCCAAAAATACGTAATTAAGTAATTCAGCTTCACAAGTAATTAATAATTAAATTCCCTCATAAAAAATAATTACGAATCCCAAAAATAATTGGCTTACCTTCACTTATACCTTAATGAAAAATGTTAATCACTAATTATTTTGAGATAGTAATGTATTAATATTGGAATAAAGTTATACCGACATCTTACATTGCCCTTTTGTTGAGTTCACGGCGTTGTATGTAAACCTGGTTTCAAATGTCAACATCTAGATTCAGATCTAGAATGGAAAACCTGACTTACTTCCAGCTCCTAGATATTAATTATTATATGTCTTTAATTAGTATTATTAACTTGACAACAAAAATACCGTTATAAGATTGTTACAGCTCATAATATAATCTCGTATGTAAATTGAAGATGATTGTCCACTGAGACATTTTATGTCAATTTGCTATAACTACGAAATTACCCACAACAACCGGTTAGTGTTATTATTTGTCTTATGTAACATTATGCAATATCGAGCCATCTAAATGTTTCCAAGATGTTCCCGACACGGACCGAAACAAACAAAAACTGTATAATTATTGCATAATTAAGTTCCACTCGAGCGTCAGAAGAATATCAAGTTGCGTAACTTTGTTTATCAGATTATTATTTGCGAAAATTGTGAACTATGATTATTATTGGTTATAGATTTATTTTCATCAATGAATTCTATTGTAAAAACTTGGACAACATTTTCCGACACTGCTATAGAATAACACATTATAATCGTTACCTACATTGAAATTCGTCACAAACAATGTTGTTTTCTTATTTAAACTAAAACGTGACAAATAGTTAAAAACATAGTAAAATACCTACTACTTACATACTGTTAGGTATTCGCAAAAATAAATTACCCGAAATTATCGTTCGTAATTTCCATGATAACATGCTTTTTTTGCCACCCATCTTTAAATTGGCCTGGCTCTCTGAACACTCACCGAACCGAAACAAAGTACATTTTGATGGGCCCACGAATACAAATTGATCATAAACGCTCCTAAAAGTCATTTGAAGCTGTTTAAATCGTGTAGTTTTAATTACCTAGTGTCCAAGCATTATGTTCTAATATCATACAGAGCAGCACGTGTATTATTCTATTCTATAATCGTTTGATGTCTATTTGGTCCCAAAATAGATGGCATATGCAAAAAATCTTTGATTAAATTACTGCGATACACATCACAACGCGTTTTGTTACTCAACCTATTATGAAATAAGAAATAAAAACAAACCATTAAAAATATGTCAGAGGATTGTTGTCAAGCATAATTTTGTACTCAACTACGTACTCCTCTACTGAAATTCTTTCATTAAACTTATTTTATTTATGTTATTTAACCAATTTGACTGACTGCCTCGTTGAAACAAATGACTGCCTCGTTGGCCGAGTGGTCGCAAGTGCGACTGCCGGGCAAGGGGTCTCGGGTTCGATTCCCGGGTCGGGCAAAGTTCTACTGGGTATTTAAAAAAATCTCAGTAGTAGCACTGAGTCTGGAATTGTTCCTGGTATATGGCAATAGGCTCACCCCCTATTACATGGGACTCGTAACATAAATAGTGAAAAGTGGGTGTTACATCGTACAGTGGCATCATGTACACCTCTGCCTACCCCTTCGGGGATAAATGGCGTGATGTTATGTTATGTTATTTAACAAATTTGTATTACATTGTTACAGACGTGCATCGATGATGTCGCCCCGGCAACTAATGCGCAACTCCAACATGACACAGAAATGGCAGCGTCGCGAGATCTCCAACTTTGAATACCTCATGTTCCTGAACACCATCGCAGGTCAGTTTTCTTATAATACAGCTCTATTTCAACTGAAGAAACACTTGGATGAAAATCACGGTTAAATAACACAATAACATGCATCACGACCACGACTCATGAATACATAACAATTGCTATCTGGAGGCATAACTGGAGATGTATTTAGTAATCTTACAATGCAAGAAATGGACGACAAGGACAGTTCCATGTTGGGGAAATAAAATCATGCTAGGGATTTAGGGAGACATCCTTGGGGATGTCTCCCTAAATCCCTGTCTTTGGCATATTTCATAATAAAATATTATTCACGGAATTTGAACCCCATCTGCGAACACTTGCGGCCTATAGTTGCTTGTCTAACGAATCAATTACGCCTTTGAAGTGTAGACGTATAGTCAGTTATTATATGACCATTCTAGCTCATACAGCATGATAAAACACACACCATTTTATCATTGTTACCCGCTAACAACAACTAGTTTGCTAGTGGTTACAGTAATTATACAAATATCAACGTCGCTCGGTCAATTTGAACTGCGATCTATAAGAACCTGCCGCAACTGTCACTGTCTACGTGTGCGCATCACATGCAGCGATATTCTGCATTCAATGTTGTTTAATGTGGTGCAATAATATTTTGTTTAGCTTCATTACTTAATTACACTCATAAGAAAAACTTAATTGGTAAGGATTCAATTATATTTAATCGTGTTTCGTTTGTTATGATATTATGTTAAACATATTGAAGATAATCACGACTTTTTCGTTTATGAAACGTGTATATTACGTTTTGTGTTATTTTTCGAGAAAACTGACGTCTTTCATGTCCATAAAGTAGTGAAAAACACATTCATATAATTTTAAGCGTCTTTGATAAATAAGTTCCAGACGCTTAACCTAGATGGCGCTACGAGATCGATGTATAAACGTATGCTGTATTGTAACTAATTCGCAGATTATGCTAATGTATTGTTGTCAATCTTTTTCCTTTATTTTAGTCAAGGACCCTTGCGGTAAGCCCAAAGGATTAAAGCAAAAAACATCCTCTAGAAGACGTGACCTGCCAATTAAAATTCGTTTAATCTTTTCTGATGCTCTTTGTAATAATGACCTTATTAATTATTTTGAACAATTTTCAACAATACTTGCATTGTTCGTTTTTATCGTTATATTAATTACTTTGGACATTATATATTTTTTTATTATTTACACGTGTTTGTTGACAAAAAGTTTGAATAAATTAATATTTAGGCGCACATTATTAAGTTTTGATACTAGGGTAGCACTTCTGCTGAAGAGGTTGCCACTAATGAATCGACCGTATATAAAGAATAGAAACTAGATAATATTGTAAATGAACAGCGTAATACGCATCATTATACAATTATTACGTTATATAACAATTAAGTAGGTATTGGAGGTAATAGCAATTGTCCAGATGTGATTAGATAACAGGCTACTACGTACTAGGAAAAAAGAAGCGAATTAAATAAAAATAGGTACCTACAACTACGTACTTAGGTATTTATAGTGCATGCAACCACTTGGACAATGACTTGGCAAAATATTTAATTATGTATCTCCTTTTTTCCTTAACTTATTACATATTATTTTATGTAAGATCCCGAGTATCAACTGTTCTTACCTTACATGACATAACTTCAACACCGCTCATGTAACTTCAACTTAACACCGGTTGTTGTGAAAAATTTCAACTACTACTTAACTACTAAAAAAATCTTTCATTACGCAAACCTAAAAGTTTTGAGAACGATTTAGAAGGTGGCAATGACCACATTATGTGATAAGAATTGAATGGCAATTGGACATGACATTGTCTGGACATAATAGTTTTGCCTCTTTCATGCGTATGATGCCCTGGTACTTACGTTTCCAGTAAAGTTTGATCCATGAAGAATTGTTGCAGTTTTCCGATTTTTGTAGATTCTAAAACATGATAGATCTCGTTTCTCCATACAAACGTCAGTTCCAGGATGTGATATCAAGTTAACTGGTGGGAATAGAATGGCCGGAGTGTTTACTGACTGCTTGAATAACAATACTTGCGCAATAACTGCGGCGTTTATTAGAAAATGAGTTGTCTGTCGGTGCAAACGGTACAAATAATCCAATTTGTCCGTCATCGTCACATGCGCTCGCCCATAGCGACCACTGACTCATTGTTATGCTATCCTGGTACCCACGTGCTTCGGAGAGGTCAAAGAGATGAGAGATAGTTTTCATTAGCCACTTAAGAAATGTTTAAAGCAATTTTTTAGGGGATATGCAAAATATTGAAACATTGAATTAAGTACATCTATTTTAAATACATATTTCTCTTTAAACTTTATCCTAATCTCGTCGATTGAATTTACGTGGTTAAGTAACATACTAAGTACAATAAAATTGATGACGGATAAATCGTATATTATGTCAATTGTATGAAAATTCGTTTTGTTTACAAAGTGTAAAGCCAAAGATGATTAGCATACAATAATGTTCAAGATAGACCAATCCACCTGACACGGATACATGAACAGGAATTCCTAGTTTGTAGAGGCGCAGGCGCATCAATTACGTGTCGTCACGATCGTTATTAGTTACGTGTGGTAAATAACTACTGTTTGTTATTTGTAGCTTCACAAAAGGGGAAATAACAAAGGTTTTGATGACAAGTAATGTAAAGAAAATGTAATAAGTAGGTAATTTATAATTCGCCTCCATGGTATCCTAAATAGATATCTTCCTCTTTCTTATGATGTGTTCCTGGTATAAATTTACATATCTAGAATTCTACATTCTACTCTGCTACTGTACAGCAATGCGGTTTTAATGGAATAATCCGGTAAAAGAGTAGACGAATCACCTAATGGTAAGCAATCGGCGCCGCCCATAGACACGCGAAACACCAGAGGCGTTACAAGTGCGTTACCTGCCTTTTGAAGATTATTAGGGATTCGGGGATTGCGGAGATTGAGGAGAGGGGTAACTGGGGAGGTGTCAACAAGTACTAAATGTTATATTATCAACTAGCGACCTACCCCGGCGTCGCACGAGTGTAATATGCATGTATTATACATACAAACCTTCCTTAAGTATCACTCTATCTAATAAAAAAACCGAATCAAAATCTGTTTTGTAGTTTTAAAGATCTAACCATACATAGGGATAGACAGACGGCGAATAGCGACTTTGTTTTGTACTATGTAGTGATTAGGTAGTATCTACTAATTACCTATTTAAATTAATTTATTTGTCATTATACCGGTGTGTACAGGATCTTTAGTTTTATTTAGCTCAGTAGTGCAAGGCTCCGTCCTTCTTGAGGTCAAGTTTAGTGACTTAACCCCTTATTGTTAGTTAGCAAATAACTATATGATCATTAGATACGTCAATTAATTGATTTCCTATCGGATTTAGGAGGTATAAGTAATTACTGTTTCAAGCCAGTGCAAACGAAGATATGTTGCATAAAATTCTACGTGCAAAATTATGTAACCTCATTATTTTATTGTACCTATTAAATAATTACCGTGGGAAGGTACAGAGGAAAACGCTTGAATAGGTCTGAAAATATTTGTATGAGAAAATCGTATGTGCAGTTTCAAAACTAAGGGCATTGTTTAGCTAAACCTAAATACCTACAGCTCGCATAGTTACATAATATCAAGATACCTTACATCTCTTTATAATTTCAATTACAATTAATTGCCTAGTGTGAAAAAAATCATAATAGGTACATGTGAAAATTAAATAGGACCTCCCGTAGGTACCTATTTAATCAATTAAACAATTAAATATGTTACTCGGCATAAGTAACATATTTAATTGTTTAATTGATAAAATAGGTACCTAGAATAGAATACTGAAAAGTTACTCAATTTTAAGTCGTGCTCAAATATCGTGCCATCTCTGTCATTTTACAAAGAATTTGTAAAAATAGAACTATACTTAAGCGCGACTTAAAATTGAGTAGCGTTTCAGTATTCCGACATTTTTGAACTATCAACTTTACATCTTCAGTCCGAGTGAGCTGAAACCGCGCTCAAAACTCAAATTAAATAATATCTATTAACTTAAATAGCGGTGAAAAAAGTGACCAATAGTTACTCAGTAGGCCTTTTGTAATCATGTATAACTTTTCTAGGTTAAAATATCATAGTTATGCCGAACTAACCACAGATTGTGTTACGTCACCTTACGAGTATGACCAATGTCTTTACTTATTTAATGCAATATTAAATATGAAAGTGAGTTCGTTTGTTACGCTTTCAAGTTTAAACCGCTGAACAGATTTCGATAAATGTTAGAAAACTGAAACAAATGTCAGTCTACATTCCACGTGAGCTAATCACTGCCCAAATAGAGTTTTCACAAAAATTACGCACGTGGAGTTTTGTTTAGCATCAGTTTAGCACCTCGTTACAGCGGCTACCACCGCAACATCGTCTTGTTTGCATCACAATCAATGTAAGCGAGCACCTCCGTTGTAACTTGTACCTGATGTTGTAACTGACAACCCGCAGTGGACGGGTGCACATAAACCTACTCCAGGTCTCAATTTATAATGAATTTTATTATAAAACGTTAAAGTTTAAAATGGAGTAAATTTCATATGCTACTGTCTGCACAATAATGCTGTAGTAGCTTGATAAGGATAATATTTTAAAATATAATTTGTAATTTATAATTGCAGGATAATAAATTAAGATAACTACCTATGTATGCTTACTTGGTTCCGAAAAGTGAATGAACTTTTCAATGCCAAGTTTGTAAGACCTTCATATAACCGATTAATTACATAAGTGGGAAGGTGGAAAGTCATCATTGCAAGAGTAAAGCCAGAAAATCTTAACAACACTGTCAAATCTTAATCGCTCATTCGCATCTTAATCGCTAATCTCATATTCCAATCCAATCCAAAAGAAAATCGGCTTGTGTTTATCTATGTAATTCAATTCAGGATTCAGTTCTATTAAAATAACTACTTATTTCCTTTTAGTTTGATAATATAGATA